GTTGTCCAGGCTAGAGCCAACCACAAAACAATGATCCCAACACACACACACACACACGGATAGCGAGAAGTACCCACACACACACACACCTATACATAGACGCCTGCTCCCGCTCTCAAACAAAATCAGACAATTTTAATCCGGCTTTGATTGCGAAGCCCAACATTCACACACACACCCACACCCACACACTTTGCCTGTCTCTCACGCACACACACTTAAGCACATCGCGTAATTTTAACAAGCAGCGAGCGCGTTTATAATTTTGGCCCATTGTCTAAGCGAAATGAGTAAATTTGTGGTAGGTCCGCAGCGCACGCAAAGCAAATTTGTGAACGTCCCAAAGGACCTTGCTGTTGGATTTTTCAACTTTTCAATTTTTCATGTTTCACCGTCGGCAAATTTACTGTCGCTTGAAAAGCCGAAAAACTTCAGGATTTCAGCAAAGAATTCTTGACATACAAACATTTGTGCGTGAGCGTTTGCATAGAACATGTTTGAGAGAGACTGGACAATAACACACATGTTTGAGAGAGCATAGTTAACATTTAAGAGAGAGCAAGAGAGAGCGTGGATAACATTCCTGTGAGAGTAACATAATGTTAAGTCATGTTGCAGGAGCAGCCACTAACAGGTTCGATTCGAACAGGACCTGAACAACAGCTGTGAAGGGGCAACAAAAGTTCATCTAAGTTGGATGTAGAAGAACTTTTCCCTGTTTGGGAATAGGGAAATTACGTGAAATGTTCTACTAACTACGTAATAATACGAATTTATTGTTGTGTGCGGTATTTGTTATTGTCGGCATCCCAGCTGTGGCGCACGTGCTACGACGGCGATGCAACAAGTTTGAAGTGCCAAATGTTAAGCTGTCTCACTGAATCGTAAGTAACTTAATTCTAGCTACATTTTTCATTGCATACTTTTGCATCTTTGGCTAGCTGTGTAACAGCTCTATTAACCCCCTCTACCTCTCTCTCTATATATATCTCTTTATCTTTATTTTCTTTATTGAAAGGATTCTGTTCAGCATGAAATTGCTTTAACAGATTGATGTTACAATTTTAAAAATTTTTGGCGGAGGCTTTAAGTCGACCAACCGCAACGGGTGACGGGACTTGGCAGTGGATCTCGGTCTACGGTGGAACAACATCAACACGGCTTTTGTTGTCGGGGGACAATGTCTGGGGCTGGCACAACAGCAACGCTAACGCAACAAAAACAATGCCAGTGCCGAACACACTTACAACAACAACAACAACGTGAATAGCAGCAGGATAGCAAAAGCTGCCGCTAGAGTGAGATAGCTCAAGAGAGCTGGAGAGGCGGGAGAGCGGAGGAGCGAGAGAGCGGCCGGTGGCTCTAGTACTCAAAGTAGGCTTCATTCTAACACTTAACATGTTAAAATTACATTCGCCGCTGTTATTACAGTTTTTCAGTCTTTCCTTTTTTGTTGTTCCTTGTTTTGCTCGTTAAATGTCAAGCAGAAGTTGAGAGAAAGTCAATGACCGACAGCCCTTACGGGAGAGAGCAAAATGAAAACAAAATGCAATAACAATAGCAAAAGTTTGTTTTTGGAGTTGAATGAGCGCACTTAGTTAGTGCACGAAGGGTTAGGGTTTGCCGTAGTTTGTTTTTGTTCTCTCCGATGTTTCTCGCTTGGTGTTGAAAACAAACTCCGTTATTCCGTAGGCGTGTTGACAACTTGCCAAACAATGCGAAATGAGCAAGGCGCAACGAGAGATGAATTGCATGAGGGCGCAAATAAGCTCTGATTAAATTAAGAATCGCAATTTAAATTTGTAATGCGATGCAGGACGTGAACAGGACAGTGAAGCATACATATGTATGTATGTATATATGTATGTACATATATATGTATATGTTTTCCGTTTTGGTTTCGCTTAACGCTTAATTAAATGAGAAGCTTATGTAAATCGCGATTAAAATGCATATTATCTTATGCCATTTCTTCTTGCCAATATTAGAGCAAAGCTCAATTTGCATTTGCGAACTGTGTGAGAAATTAAATTATTTATTTATCTGAAGCGAATGCAAATTTGATAAAAAAATAAAAATAAAAATAAAAAACAAACAAAACATAAAACAACAGAGGTCCTGCGAACACAGCAGTTGCCTGCCAATGCTGGAAGCGTGGGGGGCGCTTGGCGTCTCGCGAATAGTATGAGAGCGAACACAATAGTAAAACGGTGTAAAATCAAGAAACAGTTACGTACACAGCTCTGACGGTTGCCCGCTAACCAAGCTCCATTCCCATTCGGGGAATCCAGGCTTTGCCCACCTTAAAGGGGCGGCGTTGGGGCCGGGGCGGCCGCATCGTAAAATCGCAGAGATCCAACCGCACTCAAAGAAATTATGCGAAAACAAAAATGTAGAGCTTGGCGGCAGCTCGGCAGGTGGGACATGAGAAAAGTGTGGAATATCGCAAACAAAACGGAACAGGCAACAAAATGGCAATACACCCATACACACATACAGCCTCACACAGTCACACGCACACGCACACACTCACACACTCACACACAGACCCATACCCTTGCTGGGTAAACATAAAAGCGACGCGAGCTGCTAGCGAGCGAATAAGCAAACAGCCTTAATAAAAATTTCATTTCCTTAATCAAATGCATTATCAAATTACAAAAACAACAACAATAGCAGCAGCAGCAGCAGCAGCAGTGGCACCAGTAGTAGTAGCAGCAATGTAGGCGTGTGGGCGTGCTGAAATGATGTGCAGCCACAAGAGGCAGCATAAAAAGAATTTTGTTACCCTTCAGTTCAGTCAGCTCTCTCTGTCAGCGCCCGCTTAACTTCATCACAAAGCCAACTTCAATCGGTATTGGAGCACAGCGCACACCTCATTTCGGGTGCACACACACACACACACACACACACACAGCTGAAATTGTCAAGCGAAAGTTGAGATTGAACTAAAGTAGTGGCAGAAAAAAGCGTATAAGCCATCAGATACCCAACAATTATCAAGATAAGTTCCTTGAAACGATTTAAGGCAGCTGAGATAATCTGAAAAAAAAAAATACTAAAATACTTTTCAAAGCATAGACGTTTCTATGTACAATGTTTTGCAATCTTCAATAATAGCAATTGTTATTTTTTTTTTTTTTTTTTTTTTTTTTTTTTTAAATTTTTTTTTTTTTTTTAAAA